TAATATAATATAATAATGAATTAGTACATATAGAAAAATAATTATATTTTGAAAAATATTTTTTACTTGTACTACGTTAAAATAAATATATTTTTATATGATATATTGAAATAAATATACGTTTTAATTATCAGTTTGAATATAAATTATAAAAAATTAAAAAATATATTTTTGTAAAAAAAATTTTCAAATTATATTAAAAAAAATATTTAGAGATCATAATTTTTTTTATAAAACTACGATGTTCAAACAGTAAAATTATAATTAAGGTAAGTTCTAAAATTCATAGTAAATAGTATTTTATTTCCGGTTTAAATTCGATTGGCCATCAATTTGTATAGAAATATCGAAGATATATTTTTGAAATTTAACTATAGACAATTTAAATAAATAAAATTATATTAATCATTATTATAAATTTCTTTTATTGTAGATCGTAAAATTATTATTTAAAATAAGTAGTAATAGAAAAAGAAAATAAATTAAGGTTCTAAATGTATCAATTTGGCGGGCAATATACATTTTATCTATATTCATTGAATGTACTACTTCTAATGTGATATTCCGTTTTAAAGTAAGATTATTGAACGAAAAATAACGTAACAATGAATGTTGATTTACCTTATTCTGTTGAATACGCAAAAAGTTCGCGATCTTCTTGTAAAAATTGTAAGAATTCTATTCAGAAGGATTCCTTAAGACTTGCTGTTATTATTCAGGTACATAATATCGAGAATATTAATATTAATATGAATTTATACCTTATAACTGTTATTAATTATTAATATAAATTGTTAATATATTATTTTCAATTATTACATAATTTCATCAATAACATTATATAATGTAATAATAATATAGTTCAAAATAAAAAATGTATTTATGAAGATAGATTTATTTTTATAAATTTTTTTTTATATTTCATTATAATAAAATTGTAAAAATTTACAAGAATTATTTTTCATGATATTATTGAATTTACGTATATTTTGAATAATGTTTTTGAAAAATTATTACATTTAAAAAATATCAAGTCATATCTTTTGATTTTTAGAGTCCTGTTCATGATGGAAAAATACCAAATTGGTATCATCCACCTTGTTTTTTTACAAAACAAAGACCAAAAACTACTGCAGATATTGCTAATTTTGATAATATTCGTTGGGAAGATCAAAAAGAACTTCAAAAGAAAATTGGTTTGCTTAATAATAACATTATAAATTACATATAATATTGTATGAAAATTTCTTATAACTTAAATTTTTATAGAGGAATCGATTAACCTTCCATTACCTGCATCTGGAAGAGGAAAAAAACGTGGAAGTACTTCAGCTAAAAATATAGGTCCATTACGTGATTTTGTAGTTCAATATGCAAAATCTAATAAATCAACATGTAAAGCTTGTGAGGAAAGAATAGTACAAGGAGAAATTAGGATATCAAAGAAAGATTTTGAAAGTGAACAAGCTAGAAGATATGGTGGTATAGATAGATGGCATCATCTTGACTGCTTTATCAAAGTAAGAGAAAGTTTACAATTTTATGAGAATGGTGATACACTTCCTGGCAAAGAAGATCTTTCCAAAGAAGATCAAAAAAAGCTTAAAGATGCTTTACCAAAGATTAAATCAGATGATGCTCCACCAATTAAAAAAATTAAAGATGAACCAATAGATGTAAAAGAAGAGGAAGAAATGAAAAAACAAAATGATGAATTATTTTCAATTAAAGATATATTATCTTCTATAAAAAAATCTGATCTAATTGCTATGTTGGAAAAAAATGAACAACAAATTCCAGAAGGTGTATCTACAGTATGTGTTTTATTAATAAATTTGGTTTCAACTATAAGTAAATAAACATTAATAAATAAATATTATTCAATAAAATAAGTTTTTAAAATATTTGATAAAATAACTTTTTATTATAGATAATAGATCGTTTATCAGATGCTATTTATTTTGGAGCTTTAAAACCATGTCCAAAATGTAGTGGACAATTTGTATATCATTCTGGCATTGGATACAAATGTACTGGAGATTTAACAGAATGGACTAAATGTGAAAATATCACGCAAGATCCTAAAAGAAAAAAATTCATAATATCATCAGATTTAAAAGAATCATACCCAAGTCTGTAAGTATTTTTGTAAAATTATTTTCACAAATTAACCTATATATATATAATGAAGTTAAAATTATTTAAATATTTAATAGCAAATCTTTGAAATGCAAAGTTAAAAAACGACTTATAAAGATGTCTATACCCTCAACATCTAGTTTAATAAAAAAAGAAGATGAAATTGATTCTGGACTCAAAGTTGATGCAAAACCTAGACCATTAAAGCATATGCAATTTGTTATTATAGGTCATACAGAAAAACATAAAGATATTTTGAAAAAAGAAATTTTGCATTTAGGTGGAGATGTAATATCAAAACTTCATGAACATGTGACTGCTGTTATATCAACACAACATGAAATAGATAAAATGAGTAAAAAGATGGAAGAAGCTAAAAATTTTAATATTCAAATTATTACTGAAGATTTTGTTGAGGAAGCTAAAGAATATACGAAATCTGCTATATCACTCATTAAAAAAAAAACTATTTCAAGTTGGGGTGGTAATTTATCTGATAGAATTAACGTTATTGCAGAAAAATCTAGTGCTTCAAAAAGTAAAGGTAAAAGTATATATGAAAAGTCAGGATCTGGTAAAATGAAATTACAATTAAAAAAAGGTGAAACTGTTGATCCACTTAGTGGTTTACAAGATTCTGCACATGTATATCAAGAGGGTAAAAATAAATATACAGTTACATTGATACTTTCAGATATACAAACTAAAAAAAATAGCTTTTATAAGTTACAAATTTTAAAACATGATAAAAAAAATCAGTATTGGTTATTTAGAAGTTGGGGTAGAATAGGAACAACTATTGGTGGTTCAAAATTAGATAATTTAGCCTTAGAAGAATGTATACAACAATTTGAATCATTATATGAAGAAAAAAGTGGAAATTGCTGGAGTCAAAGAGAATATTTTGTTAAAGTACCTCATAAAATGTATCCAGTTGATATTGATTATGGAGATGAAATGTCAACAAAAATATTAGAATCTGATATTAAAAGTGAATTAGAACCACCAATTCAAGATTTAATGAAACTAATTTTTAATGAAGCAAACATGAGAAAAGCAATGGTAGAATTTGAAATTGATATAGAAAAAATGCCACTTGGGAAATTGTCTAAAAAACAAATTCAAAAAGCATATTCAGTATTAAAAGATCTACAAGAAGTACTAAAAAAAAAAGATTTCGATTCAGTTCAATTGGTTGACGCATCTAATAGATTTTATAACTTAATACCTCATAATTTCGGAATATCCGAACCTAAAATTTTAAATACAATGGAAGAAATTCATTCTAAATGTGAAATGTTAGATGCATTACTTGAAATGGAGATTGCTTATTCACTTTTGTATGCTAAAACAGATACAACAAAGAATCCACTTGATGCTCATTATAAACAATTAAATACTGAAATTAAAATATTGGATAAAGAAAATGAAGAGTATAAAGTTATTAAACAATATGTAGAAAATACTCATGCAAAGACTCATACACAATATGAACTTGAAATTGAAGATATATTTATTATTAAAAGACAAGGCGAAGATAGTAGATATAAACCATTCAAGAAACTACATAATAAGAAGTTACTTTGGCATGGTTCTAGAACAACTAATTTTGCTGGTATACTTTCTCAGGGTTTAAGAATAGCTCCACCAGAAGCTCCTGTTACTGGTTATATGTTTGGTAAAGGTATATACTTCGCAGATATGGTTTCTAAATCTGCAAATTATTGTTGTACAAATAGTGAAAATCCTACAGGATTGTTATTGCTTTGTGAAGTGGCATTAGGTAATATGTATGAGAGATATCATGCAGATTGTATTGAGAAGTTACCGAATGGTAAACATTCAACATGGGGTCGTGGTCAAACACAACCCGATCCTGAAAATGTTTATAAAATGAAAGATGGTGTTGAAGTTCCATATGGTGTTTCTGTGTCTGTTAAATTACCAAAAAAATCAGACTTATTATACAATGAATATATTGTATATGATGTTGCTCAAGTAAAAGCGCGATATTTATTGAAAATGAATTTCAAATATAAAAATTAATATTTTTTTAAATATTGAAAATATTAAAAAACATATACTTATATTCAATATAATTCATCTTAAATATTTAAAACTATTCTATTAGTAATATTAGTTTCGATATTATTTTTACAAATATGATGTATTAATTTTTTTTTTATACAAATGAACAATAAATTTAAGTAATGGAGTAAATCTTTAATTTTAATATATTAAATTAAATATGAATATTTTAAAATCAAAAATTGGACAAAAATAATTTATACCATTATTTGATTGACATATATTTTCTTTTATTTCGTAAAATTAATATTCAAAATGGAAGTCAAAGTAAGATTGGTCAAATGTATTAATACGAACATAACCGTCTTCCCCACCCGTTGAAAAACTTCGACCATTAGGATGAAATGCTAAAGAATTAATTGGACCAAAGTGTCCTTTTAAACGTGCAAATTCTTCTTCAAATACTAAATGGAAAAATCGAGAATCGAATTTTCCTTGACGAGTTGATGTTGTTGTGACATCCATAGCATCTTGACCTCCTCCAAGAACGACCTATAAACATATAAATTTTTTATAAATTTTGATAAATACATTACAAATATCTTATACATACATGATCAAAAATTGGAGAAATTGTAGCAGAATTAACAGGTCTTTCTGTTTTGTATGTTTTCAATAACATTA